GTACATATACGTAGTGCCTGAGTGTGAAAGTTATCTCAACATTTTTTAGTAGTAAAAGCTGCTGAATTATATATTTCATAACCATGATCAATTTTTTGATCTAATCAAAGATAAATAAATTCTTAATTAATGGCTGGTTGCGTTCCATCTGGTTCCTGTAAGTAATTTCCTGCACTTAGTCTATAAATTTTGAATATGATTAACCCAAGTAAAGTTCCTGTCAAAAAATATTCCTAAAACTTTAATTTCTTTAACTGTTTCAAATGTATGATTACAAAGTTTCAAGCATATGTCTACATTTTCCCTTCTAGTAAATTAAATATCATAGCTACATGTAAAGTTCTACTTGGAGATATTTTAAAGGCCCATGTAGTATACTATTCACATATATTATCTCAGTCTGGTTGTATTTTTTCTCTAAAAACGCAATAATATTAAATAAAGTGGGACTATTACAACGCCCTTGAGGGGTACCATTTCCAACTGGGAGACATATTCTTCATGTGGCAGTGCGCTGCTGAAGTATTGCTACAAAGAAATTGAAAGTTCACAATTTGAAAGCTAAAATGATCTTTTTTGTAGTAAAGTTTTGTTTCTTAATCGATTTATTAACTATAGAATAGGTTTTTAACTATATCAGTTGTATCTTTTATTTCAAGTTCGATGAGATAGATGCGTTCAACATACTCACCAAACTTTAATTATTTACTGAGAGGACATCATCTATATAGGAGAACGTAAAGTTAAAGGATAATGCTAGCTTCTTTTCATTACATGTTTCGTTAATTTTGTTTCTGTAATGGGATTCAAATTAAAGGAGGTAGGACCAATATACCCCACATTTATTTCAAACCAGGATGATTTTAAAAAAATCCTTCGATGAAATACTAAAATCTACAATATTACAGATCATAGGTTTACTTTAAAGATGTAATAAATGTCATATTTCTTAAAATTTGTTAACATTTGCCCAAACTATTTTTTTCTACTAAACTTGTCAAAAACTAAAACTGACGTTGAAAGACTTTGACCAAGGAGGCGGTATGACAAGAGGCATTATGACCAAAAGGAACAATACCCAAAATCATCGAAGGTCAACATTACCTGTGGGAGATGGAACCTTAGTTTCTGAATAAATTCTTAATTTATCAACGTAGAATTTAGGAAAGGCATGTTAAAAATCATGTCAGTACCGAAGCACTGACTGCTCAGTTGATAATACCCTCTAGGATTAACCGTTCACCAGCATTGGTATCGACCCATTGCTAGTAAATGAAAATAAGACTTTATTGAGTTCGTGCATCTGAAGCGCTTTTCTGGATTTACCTTCATCAGGATCGTTCAGACAAAACATTTGGAAATCCATGGATGCCAAAAACATAAACACTCGAACAGCAATATAACAAAAAGGGACTTAAAAAAAGCCTAATTCATCTAACGTCAACTTTATAAAAATAAGAAAATGTGGTATGATTGCCAATGAAACAATTCTCCACAAGAGACAAAATGACACAGAAATTAACTATGGGTCATCGTACGGCCTTCAAAAATGAGTAAACCCCATACCGTATAGTCAGCTATAAAAGGCCCAAAAAAAGACAAATGTAAAACAATTAAAACGAGAAAACTAACGGCCTGATTTATCCACAAAATAATAAACGAAGAACAAGTTAGTACGATATACAGCAACAAACCACAACCGCTGAATAACAGGCTCCTGACTTGGGACAGGCACAAACAGACTGATGATGTGGCGGGCCTGATTGCAAAAATGCATGTTGTAGCAAAATATATTTTTGGGTAAAGCTCTTGCTCATATAAAGCTATTCTTGTAGTTTTTGATGTTTTGCACTAAATTCGAGAAGTTTGAAGCCCTAATGCAATATGTATGACAAAATCTAAAATGACTGACAGACTATTTAATGTTTTATGAACATTCGAAGGATGTTATTTTTGGTAGATTTATATTACTTTTTGATTTTTGAATTTAAGGAGCCAAAAACATTGCATTATCATAGTACCTTCTCCTTTTTGGTATTTTAAAAAATCAATGAACTCCCATTCCCTCGGTGTATATATATTAGGCCAAGTTATGCCGTCTCAGAGTTATGACTCTCCAGCAATGGTTGACTGCAGTAATAAATATCTATAGGTCACCGTACGACACTCATGAATGAGCAAAACTCATACTGTATATGTAAATGCTCTTTTGTTCCGACGTTGGAAAGTTCCGGGCGGAAAGAACTAACTAGCCGAAAAGTTCCGGAGGAACTTTTTAACTAGTTACTTTGTTCTTCCTCTGGTTTAAAAGTTCCACCGGAACAAAGTGACTAGTTGAAAAGTTCCAACGGAACATATCAACTAGTTAGAAAGTTCCTTTTTGCCAAATTAGTCAAAACCGGAACTAACAAACTAGCCCAAACGTTCCAACGGAACTTATCAACCAGGCAGAAAGTTCCATTTGGAGAATTGATGCAAAGTAAAAGCGCAACATATTATACTTGAACCTTTCAAAGGGAAACCAAGATACTGATTACAAAAGTCAAAAGGAACTTATCAACTAGCCACAAAGTTCCTCTTTGGCAAATAAGTCAAAACCGGAACTAACAAACTAGCCCAAAAGTTCCAACGGAACTTATCAACCAGTCACAAAGTTCCATTTGGAGAATTGATGCAAAGAACCACATGAAGAGGGGGTATTCTTCCCTCTCTTGAGGGTACTATGAATACTAAATTTGCATGATAATGCAAGTTATTCCGTTTTATGTGAGCTATGAAATACAACTTAAATTTTGCATATTTGTCCCCAAAGAAACCCCTTTCAGTGCGTTGGGTATTCTTGTAAATTAATGATTTGCTCTTATGTATACTGATACTCATTCTTTCCCCTCTTTCTACAAAAAGGACGAAATATGGTATATTTGGAACGATGTAACTAGTTGTTCTGTTCCGCCAGAACTATTCAACTAGCTACATTGTTCCGGGACTTTTCAACTAGCTACTTTTTTCCGGAACTTTTCGACTGCACTCGGAATAAAACAACTAGTTGGAAAGTTCCATCGGAACGAAATAACTAGTTGAAAAGTTCCGCCGGAACAAAGTAACTGACGGAACATAGTGGCTGTTACATATAGTCATCTATAAAAGGCTCTGACATAAACAAAATGTAAAACGAGTAAAACTTGAAAAAAATCAATGGCCTGCTCAATCCTAAATCAATACACACAAATAAAAAACAAATATGACAGACAAAAACCAACGACAACAACTGTAATGCAAGCTCCTAACTTGGAACAGGTACACAAAGAATGTAGCAGGGTTAAACATGTTTGTGGACGCTCAGCCATCAATAATGGATGAACGCCGTACGGTTGCCTTTAAAATTGCTTACATCCACTTCATTTGAACTTTGGGGGATTGTTGTCTCATTGACAATCATACCACATCTCCTTATTTTTATATATAACACTGTTTTTACCTATATAATTTCAGGCCATAATAATGAAGCTTATTTGGATGTTGATGATGTGTTTTACACTGTCTGGAGTTTATGCTAGAGAAAAAGATGTCAAATTAAGTAGAAGAATCTACAATAAATATCGTCGCTTACTACATTACGCACAGAAAGAACAAATTCAGCTGAGTGAATATCTTGATGAAGAGACTAGAAGTAGTGGCTCTGCACCAGAGGAAAGAAAACTTGATAAAAAGCTGAGTGAATATCTTGATGAAGAGACTAGAAGTAGTGGCTCTGCACCCGAGGAAAGAAACTTTGATAAACAGCTGAGTGAATATCTTGATGAAGAGACTAGAAGTAGTGGCTCTGCACCCGAGGAAAGATAAATTGCTAAAAAGCTGAGCGAATATCTTGATGAAGAGACTAGAAGTAGTGGCTCTGCACCCGAGGAAAGACACTTTGATAAACAGCTGAGTGAATATCTTGATGAAGAGGCTAGAAGTAGTGGCTCTGCACCCGAGGAAAAAAAACTTGCTAAAAAGCTGAGCGAATATCTTGATGAAGGGACTAGAAGTAGTGGTCCTGCACCCGAGGAAAGAAAACTTGATAAAAAGCTGAGCGAATATCTTGATGAAGAGACTAGAAGTAGTGGCTCTGCACCCGAGGAAAGAAAACTTGATAAACTGGTGAGTGAATATCTTGATGAAGAGACTAGAAGTAGTGGCTCTGCACCCGAGGAAAGAAACTTTGATAAACAGCTGAGTGAATATCTTGATGAAGAGACTAGAAGTAGTGGCTCTGCACCCGAGGAAAGAAGCTTTGATAAACAGCTGAGTGAATATCTTGATGAAGAGACTAGGAGTAGTGGCTCTGCACCCGAGGAAAGAAAACTTGATAAAAAGCTGAGCGAATATCTTGATGAAGAGACTAGAAGTAATGGCTCTGCGCCCGAGGAAAGAAAACTTGATAAACTGGTGAGTGAATATCTTGATGAAGAGACTAGAAGTAGTGGCTCTGCACCCGAGGAAAGAAACTTTGATAAACAGCTGAGTGAATATCTTGATGAAGAGACAAGAAGTAGTGGCTCTGCACCCGAGGAAAGAAAACCTGCTAAAAAGCTGAGCGAATATCTTGATGAAGAGACTAGAAGTAGTGGTTCTGCACCCGAGGAAAGACGCTTTGATAAACAGCTGAGTGAATATCTTGATGAAGAGACTAGAAGTAGTGGCTCTGCGCCCGAGGAAAGAAAACTTGATAAACTGGTGAGTGAATATCTTGATGCAGAGACTAGAAGTAGTGGCTCTGCACCCGAGGAAAGACACTTTGATAAACAGCTGAGTGAATATCTTGATGAAGAGACTAGAAGTAGTGGGTCTGCACCCGAGGAAAGAAAACTTGATAAAAAGCTGAGCGAATATCTTGATGAAGAGACTAGAAGTAGTGGCTCTGCGCCCGAGGAAAGAAAACTTGATAAACTGGTGAGTGCATATCTTGATGAAAAGACTAGAAGTAGTGGCTCTGCACCCGAGGAAAGAAACTTTGATAAACAGCTGAGTGATTATCTTGATGAAGAGACTAGAAGTAGTGGCTCTGCACCCGAGGAAAGAAAACTTGATAAAAAGCTGAGCGAATATCTTGATGAAGAGACTAGAAGTAGTGGTTCTGCACCCGAGGAAAGAAACTTTGATAAACAGCTGAGTGAATATCTTGATTAAGAGACTAGAAGTAGTGGCTCTGCGCCCGAGGAAAGAACACTTGATAAACTGGTGAGTGAATATCTTGATGAAGAGACTAGAAGTAGTGGCTCTGCACCCGAGGAAAGAAAACTTGCTAAAAAGCTGAGTGAATATCTTGATGAAGAGACTAGAGGCATTGTAGACTCACCATCCGAGGACGATAAACGAGGAATTAAGGTTGGTACTTGAATATAGAAATGATAGTAGATATTTGTTGTTCTTTTCAATTTCATATTTAGAATAGCTGATCCGGAAGATGAACAAAATAATAGAAGTAGCAGCTCCATCGTTGAAATCCCAAGTGTCCGTCGGTTCTTTAGTTTCCGTGTTTTCTGACGATTTTGCCTGAAATGCAAACTTGTAACAAGTAAAACGGCCATTATACCGGCTTTTATCTGTTCCGAAATTAAAGCAACCAATGATATGTTTTTTACCAGAATCATAACATATATAGACACTTTAGAAAGTCTCAATGATAACATGTAGATCGTAACCAAAAAGCCTGTTAAAAAACACATCATAATTCAAATATTTTATAATTACTGTATTTAATAGAAAGAAACGTTAAACACATTTTCTGCAGAAAATCTGTTCTTAAACTTGAACTATCTTCAGTTGGGAGGTGAAAAAACGGCTGTGTCTATAGTGTTTACAAATTTCGTGAAGCCGGAAGAAAATAAACATTGGCATTTCAACATACCCAGAAACTTCAATTAATTGATTGAGAACCGCAAGATTGTCATTAAACTTCGTCTGATGTTTTGGGGGTAAAGACTTGTTGAACAATCTGCACGTGGCAATTGTTTATTTACATTGTCATCTTAAATATAACGGCTATTTTTGATTGGATGCAGGCAGTTACAACTGCGACCAATGAAAATCATTACATAGTGAATCCAAAATTTTATCTTAATCCGCCAAGGGTGGAGAGGAGGGGACTGGATCGTAATCCTTGGCTAGCGAAGATGCGATGAAACATGAATGTCTGGATGGGGTTTACAGAATAGTATAATGGGCAAATGATACAGAAAATGGGCAAAAAGGAATAGGGAATAATAGACAAAAAAAAGAACAGAGAATGATAAGTGGGATTCTAAAATGTAAGGAATAGAGAATAATGACCTAAAAATGAAAGAATATAGAAATGAAGGACCTCCCATCCAGACCTTCAAATATGTTTAACACATCATAATCGCTAAAAACATACATTTATGTTTTGTTTACTTGGTGTCCTCTTCCTGGTAGATTTTGTTTCAATGAGGTCAAGAACAAGAATTATTTTTAAAAATCATCTCTAAAATCTAGAAATTAGGATTTATAAGGTGACGTCCAAACTTAATTTGGTTTAGGTCCTTTTTTGGTCAAATATCTCTTAATGTTGCAGTGTATTTAGGCGTCCTTGGCTTTCAAATTGTTGAGTGATACTGATGAAGGTAAATGTAGATAAGGCTTCGGATGCACGAAATTTATCAAGTGTTTATTTCATTAAGGATGTAGTTAGGTAGAATTCAAAATTAAAGTGTAAGTCAGAAGAGCATTAGTTAAGGAACAAAATGAGCTAAAGATATTGATAGGTTATGGAACTCCTTTTTTGAGATATTTGATTTTCAATAAATGACGGGGAAAAGGCTGACTCGGACTTTTACCTTATATTTAGCATTGGCATTATTTGGGTCTCAAATTGTAAGAAAAATAATCTAGAATCTGCTTAAATTGGTAATGACCTTTTTATTAGCAGTTCTAGTCTTCTATGAAAAGAAAAGTGGGTGATATGGGGCAAAATAGTTTACCTTGTATCATAGAAAAAAACCCAAGGAGTCCGAACATTTGACAGAAATGCATAAATCTGACCTGAGTACATCTTTAAGTCATATAAAAAAAGGAGATGTAGAATGATTGCATTCCAATGATACAACTTTCCACCAGAGTTCAAATGACGAAGATATAAGCAATTATCTTACGCTCGATCTCGTCCCATATGGAATTTACTGACCCTGTATATATCGTTGTAGGTCACTAACACACTACGTAACTAATACTATCGGTATGCCCTAAAAATTATTCGCATTGAAAAATAATCAGACAATAATTTTATGTTATATAGATGCATTAATATATTTAAAATGGTTACACTTTTTTTTTTGGTATCATTTGTCTTTCAAGATACAAATTTCAATTAGGAATAGTTATGATACAGGGTGATTTAAATTAACGATTTCTAAGAGCTTTAATGTCAACTATATGGTTTGGGTTTTTCTCATTGTTGAAGGTCGTACAATTGCCTATAATTGCTAACATCCACTTAATTTGAATTCTTTTGGATAGTTGTCTCATTGGCAAGCATACCACATCTCCAGATTTCTATATCGTCTGCTCTACAATGACTATGCTTACGTGTGATAGGAATATCTAGCACCTGGGGTAGAATCTACCTGATTGATCTCTTTGTTCAGTAAGCTGAGAGTGAACTTCCGAAATAGGAAGGACAGCATTGTTTCCATTGATATATTTCATATCAAAATAGGTGTGACCCCTCAGAATTTTACTCAAGATAATATTTTAATTGTGTATACCAATGATAGAATTTATTAGGCAACAAATACTGTTCGATTTTTAATTCGGAATATGCAAGAAAGGTAAATATATTCCTCGTACTGACCATATAATTAAGATTTATTGTAATCATACAATATATAAAAAATCCTCATTGATGTCTATTGCAGACCTTATTTAGCGGCAAGAGGAAGAAGTGGACAATAACGGCCAGGAGATCTAAACATTGACAGATCCGTCCTGACTAAGGATAAATTGTACAGAATTCTGCAATAATTGTTTTTAGAAGATAAGAAATAGCGAATTTACAGATTATATGTATATGTACATGCTCATCTGACTAGTGCTGCTTGACAATATATTCAATTAATAATATCAGAATTAAAAACTTGTACTGTGGCCGCAGAAAAAGATTCACTGTGCTCCTTTTGTAGGTATATTAGATTTAATGACGTCACAAAATCTTTTTTGGTAACTGTGGTTTATATGGGGGAAAATAAAAATCTATAATAGCGCTATCTTTTTATCTCCAAATAAAACTCGCATTAAGGCAAATGTACCATGATTCTCGTTTAGAATTTTACGTTAATTTTAGCAGAAATGGTTTTGAAATTGCTTTTATATTTTATCTATTAATTGCATCCGATATCCAAAATGGATGCAACAATGGAACAGTGTCTGCCATTGGACACGTACAACTTTATTAAAAACAAAAGGCTAATTTACTTTTTTGTACTTGCATGAGCAACACGACAGGTGCCATATGTGGAGCAAGATCTGCTTACCCTTCTGGAGCACACGAGATAACCTCCGATTTTTTTGTAGGGTTCGTGTTGCTCAGTCTTAAGTTTTATATGTTGCGCTTTGGTCGTTTTTCTTTTTTGCCATGGTGTTGTCAGTTTGCCATCGACTTATGAGTTTGAATATTACTTTGGTATCTCCCGTCTGTCCTTCAAAATAATGAAAATCATCATTATGGCCTCTTCTGTTAAAATAGAAAAAAAGGATATGGGTATCCATCCGTGACACAAAATCAGCACATATACAGCAAAAAAACACTAAAAGCAAAGTAGTCCGAGATTACTCTGACGTCCAACGGCTGTTTTGCCAGACACGGCCCCAGCTTGTCTGGCAAAACAGCCGCTGGACGTCAGAGTAATCTCGGACTAAAAGCAAAGGAACAGCATTTTTGTTGCTGTTCTTCATCTTAAAGTCACAGTGAAGCCTTCAACATGGAACAAAAACTATCACCTCACTGCAAGTTTAAGACGGATCTTTGCACCGGTTTGAGCGGAATTCTTTTCAAACAGACGATCACTCCACAACTGTTAATCGAAGAACAAAGCTATTGAGTAATATCAATAAGATAAATCTGGCAAAGAAATCAAAAATGTTTGTTATTCTGTTTTCACTGAACCAATAATATGATGTTCTGCATGCATTTCCGCAAGTCAATGTTGTGTGATAAAAGCCATAATAAATTTACCGGAAAAAACAAAAAGAGTCAGCTTTTTCAAAACTATACAAATAGTGTTTATCTGTTATTGATAAATGAACAGGGTCCTATAATCTGGACACTATGTTGTCAGACAAAAATAGCTGATCTGAAAGGTACACCATCTACTTGCCACTATACATGTACATCATGTACTGTGTTACAACTCTAGATAAAGCCGACGAGGAAAGGCATTACTCGAACAGCGAAAGGTATATTTTATTTAGCCGAGGTGGTCAAGTGGTATAGGGCGCTTGACACGGATGGTGCAGTCATTGTTGACGATGTCACAGAATCAAGGGTTCGAATCCCGTTGAGGGAAGAACAAAAATTTGCTAACGCAAATTTGAAGATCTAAAATTGTACAACGTACTGACTTCAAAAATAAGCAAAATAAAATTAAAAAACATTTTGTATAATATACACTGGGACAACAAAATGTTGGGGGGAAAACCAATACAGAAGAGAAAACCAATGACCTGGTTCAAGCCAATAATGTTAATCGAAAAACAATTATGGCAGACGGCGAAAACCACTGAATTGCATGATTCTGGCTTGTGACAGGCACATAATTAATGTGACGAGTTAAACTTGTTTTATCAGCACCCCACCATTAATCTGGGACAGGGATGTGACAGTGCATAAATAGATAAAAAAGTGTTAAAATGAGTTGAAAAGGGACCAGACTTGTCATATTTCAAACAAGTACAAAAATTAAAACGACAAAAGACAAAGTTCCGACCCAAGAGATAATAAAAGGTACTGAAAGCACAATTTAAACGAGAGGTACTGAGAGCAAAGCTCACAAAAGTTGCTAAGTTCATGCACTGGTAAGGGAAACACAAAATACTAGTGTATTGAGATAAAAAAGACAACATTAGATAATAATCTTTATTGTCATATAAACAAATTAAATATGTTTGTGACAAAAAAACCAACATACACTCGTATATATTAGAGGAATGGCATGGTGGGAAATTTGATCAATTACTGATTAGGCGTTCAGGAGAAGAACGGGGGAAAAGATGTAGTTTGCACATGAAGGGAACAGCGGAAATGATTATAATAACAAAAATCGGAGATGCACAGTAGCATAATTTAGTTAGATTGTAATAAATTTTCAATAAATCTTATTTAAGAGTTTAAAAGGAGTAGTTCCAGATTTTATATAAAGCAATAGGAAAGTCCATGCTTTGGTAAAGGAACCCCTAAAATGGTTCTGATAAAAAAACATTAGAGATGTACAATACCATTACTAGTATATAGAACTTCACGATTGTGAGAAAGTTTGAAGAATTTGTAATAAGGTATTTAGGAGGAGTCGCGGATACACAAAATGAGTACCCCCGAAATTTTGTAAATTTGTGTGCTTGCCATCACAAAGTAAACCCCCAAAAAAATTAAGATGACGAAATAAATCAAAGTTCAAGAAAACATAATGTCTTTAAGATTCTCTGAAAGTTTCACAAACTTCTGTCAGATAGTTCATGAGCATTTGCGGATACAAAAGTGGGACGAACGAACGAAAGAACAAACAGACAGACGGACAGACAGAATGTACATCCCATCACTGTATTCCACCATAATGGCATTTTAGAAAGAAGGGGTATAACTAATAAAAAACCCATGTGTGGTGAGTCTTCCAAGGAAGACGTAACGTCGTCTGCAGCCCCAAATAATATAAGTACATATTTTTGGTAAGAGAGACCCATAAAATTTAACTCGGATAAAAACTTTCAAAGCAGGCGCAGAACGTCGTGTCCCGTAAAATAATCGGTGCAGTTTTTTTTTATTTATGTCATACAGTTTTCAAGGAGTGGAAGATTTAAAAAGTAAAGTGTGATACGAACGACGCGGACGACGTCGGCGCAAAAGAGAGGCGAAATATACCAAAGGAACATTCAAACTAATAAATTATTTTCATTTACCTGTGTTTAAAGTAATTGCAAATGGCTGATATTTTTGTTCAAGCATATTGTTTTTCTGAAATTGTTTAACATTTCACAGCGGTATAAAATGTTACTTTATTTATTCTTCCCTTAGTTTATTTATTTTGTATTAACATTGTATCATAGATCAAATGTATTTGTTCAGTGTATGTTCACTGGTGTTAATATGTCTTTTGATTGAGTTAAGCCATTTCAATTGATATTTCATAGATTGTCTTTCTATGTTGTGATGTTACACTATTGTTTCAGATAAGGGTGATGGTTTAGTACCATTAAAACGTTTAAACCCGCTGCAATTATTTGCACCAGTCCTAAGTCAGGAATCTGATGTTCAGTAGTTGTCGTTTGTTGATGTGGTTCATAAGTGTTTCTCGTTTCTCGTTTTTTATATAGATTAGACCGTTGGTTTTCCCGTTTGAATGGTTTTACACTACTAATTTTTGGGGCCCTTTATAGCTTGCTGTTCGGTGTGAGCCAAGGCTCCGTGTTGAAGACCGTACTTTGACCTATAATGGTTTACTTTTATAAATTTTGACTTGGATGGAGAGTTGTCTCATTGGCACTCATACCACATCTTATATCTATCATGTCGGAAATAAACTGACAACGCAATGCAAAAAACGAAAAAGACCAAAAGACAAACAACAGTATATCAAACACAACATATAAAACTGAAGACTGAGCAACACGAACCCCACCAAAACCAGGTGGTGAAGGATAAGCAGATCCTGTCCCATATGTGGCAACAACTGTGCTGTCAGGCGAGACAACTGGTCTTGTTTCTTTTAAATCAAACCTTTAGTAGTGTGTATTTCTTAAATTTTGTTTCCATCACTTTCGATTGATTGATACGCTCACATAAGGCATACATAACACAATAACTACGAATTGTTTTGATACAATTTAATGTGCAAACAACATAGCATATGACATAACTGTGCTCTATAAATGTAAAACTATGTACACATGTAACAACATAACTTATATCACAGTTGAACTAGCACATGTACATTCGATGGCAAGTGGGTTACCAAAGTAACGTCTTTGAAATTGAGCATTCAACCCTTGTTTAATAATCTAATACTGATCTGGTTGTAGTTGTCGCATGTGACCACACACAAGGCGTGGCCAAGACCGGAAATGGCTATCACAATACTACAAATCACAAAGATGTCTTAAAACGTTAGCGTAATAAATATAATAGTTATAGCACACACTTTGCTAAAAGAACATTTTGATTAACGGACCTTGACCAAACCCAATGTTCTAAATGTAAACAAGTTGATAACTTTGAAACAACATAAACATACAATATTGTACAATAAAACCAAGAACGTAAACAAAAGTAAAATAATACTGTTAGCTAATAAAAACAAAAAATTGAATAAAAAAAAACCATAAATACTAAATATAAGACTTGTAGTTGATCTTTCTTCAATTAAAATTTAAAAAATCCAAGAAAATCTTTAATGTATATCGCTTGCTGATATTTTGTTTCACTATTTATGTTTTAGTTTTTGCACCTTTGGTGATAGTTTTATTATTTTTTTAGGCATTGAGTGTACTGATTCTTCTCCTACTAAATTGTTCTTTAAACATTGCAAACTAGTGGCAGTTTTGTGATACATTTATTAAACGAATAATTATCTAATAAAATACAAGCACTATGTTTGATAAAAAAAAATAGATTTCCAAAAGCAAATAAAATATGACAAACAAATAAATGAAAAAAAATACTGATGAAAGACGCAATGAGAAATGCAAATTAAATTTGCAGAAATGGAATATGTTAAAATGTGATCACAAATTTCAATACATATCTTCTTGAGCTTTCAGCATTGGACAAACCCTTACTGTTCTCCACAAATTAATGATTTTCTGTAATAATCACACACACCAAAGACCAATCTGGAAACCGCTTCCTTATGACGGATGATTTTTTCTTGGAAATGTCATTGAAATCTCGAAATATTGAAACAAACGAAAATTAAAAGAACGCTTCAGTCCTTTTATGAAAAAATAAATAACTTGATCTTTGTAGTGGCGCTTCTTGTGAAAGTCAATTTGTTGGTGCCTAATGTAAAACTACTTAGCAAATGGGCATCTGAAATACTGGTCCAACTTTGGGATCCATTGGGAAACCTTTGCGCATGCCCATACAATATTGTGAATCGGTTTTGAGACTGTTGTCTTTGACCGAGATATCATGCTCCAATGTAGCCTTTGTCTTCATCAAACGAGCTAAGCTAAGCTCTGATGCCTTTAGACGTTCCTTCAATATCCTGACAGAATCTCGGATTTCATTCACTTCTCTCTGTAATCTGTAATGAAAACTTAATTTATAACACTGACTGACAACTATTATAATGTTCTACAATTTTATTACTTGGTTGAAAAAAAGTGGGTGATTAAATTTTCTTATATATTTCAATTATATCAACAGGGAATAGTGAAAACTTCAGTTTTCTGTAAATTATCTTTGTGAACATTATACCTGTTCCAGTTACAACCTATGCATTTAATAATCAAAACAGTGCTAGAATATATACGTTATGCATATATTAGTGTAACATATGTACACAATTTTGCACCAATGTTAGCATATGTATATAATACCTGCAATAGTATGATATTGTCTATTTTGAGCTGCCATCTTGCTGAAAGTCTATGGTAATGTGACATTACCCATAAGTTGAAATCATGAAGACGACGTGTTGGTGATCCCAAATATGCCTTATTTTATGACGTAATCACATAACTTTATGAGCAAAATAAGATCAGACGACGGAAAAACAGACTTACTCAGAACTTCCGTTTTCCCTTACACTGACTCTAATGCAGATTTTTCTGATGTTCCTATAAGTCAAAATAAGATATTGTGCTACTTACGATTTCATTACTGGGTCATTACACAGTTCAACATTGATTCTCCTTGTTCTCTCATCCAATCGTGTCTGTGCTACCTTCATTGGCATTTCTTTGTCTTGGATGGCCTTCCTCAACAAGTTAATGTTGTTCTCCATATCAAAGATTTCTTGCATAGTCTGAAAGTTTCAAGTTGCATACTTTAATTTCGTCAGTAAGTTTATACGCATGCTCAAAATGTGAAAAGGGGTTCTTTTGAAGGTACAATTACGCGAAAATCTTAGTAAAACAAATAAACTAATTTTGACCTTTTCATTTTCAAAATTGTCAAAGGAGACAAAATTAACAAAATTAATGCTAGACTACAAAAGTCAAGTCTCCATCTTTGAGCAGCTGTATAATGTTAATGCTTATGGGCATTGTTCTAGTTTTTTGGTTGATGGTTTCAAATATATTTGATCTTTATTATATATATTGTCACAAAGACATGAATCATGGAAATTTAAATGTAAAGAGTAATGGGTTTGTCCTCAAATAAGGGGGGGGGGGGGGATTCTGACCTACATCAATTTAAAAATATTTGTATATAACAAATTGAAATAGGGTATAATATAAACGTATAATGCCGATTTCAGCGTGTATGTCGTCTGCTTCTGGAATAATTTTATAATATTATTGACAAGTTCTGAAATATTTCTATGGCAACACTTACTCTCTGCAAGTGAGACTGTAGTTTGTTTCTAGCATCTGTGGTTTCACGGATTCTGGTGTTGAAGGAGTTGTTGACACTGTTGAAGTGGTTCCACATGTCATTAGCGCATGCTCTCAGACAACTATCGATTTCACCACGAAGACGCTCAGAGGCAGCTCTTTCCCTTTGTGAACGGGCAATGTTTTCCTGTGTGAACCTAGCCCATGAATCTGGGATGGTGATTCTAAAATCAAAATCAATAACAAATGATTGCATTGCATTTTTGTTAATACGAACATATTTCTATTCAAGCAAAAAATATCTTCCAATCAATATCGCAGAAGTTGGTGCTTAATCAAATTATGTTTCCGTGAACCGTAACAGTCACGTTATAAGGGATAATGTTTTATTTATTATACATTAATTTTGTACTAGTGCGAATTGTGTTGGATATCCTTAGACTTGCAATTTGACAGCTTCACCAATCAGGTAACAGGACATTGTATGCTAACAATGAATGATTTTTGTTTATTTGCAAGAGCATACAGGACATGTTATGATGCTACAACATGTACTTTTTTAATATGAATGAAAAGTAAAATAACAAAAACATGGAACTCCAAGGAAAATTCAAATCGGAAAGTCCCTTACCAAATGGCAAAATCAAAAGCTCAAACACATCAAACGAATGGAAAACAACTGGCATATGCTTGACTTCGTACAGGCATTTCCTTATGTAGAAAATGGTGGATTAAACCTGGTTTTATAGCTAACTAAATCTCTCACTTGTATGACAGTTGCATAAAATTCCATTAAAGGAGATATAACAATAACGTCAATAGGACAACAAAAAACACAACCCCAAAAACTATTCAGAGGTCAACATAGATCTTCAAGTTTATACTATGCAAGACTCTACAACTTTGTCACACAAAAATATATGATACGTCATTTCCTGACCTAAATTTAGAAACTTACGTGTTGTCAATGCTCTCGATACCTGGGTGGTATCCAATACCGGCAGATTTGTTTCTCAGTTGTTGCATTCTGTCGTCAAGACCTTGTGCATGATGTTTGTCTTTAGCATCAATTTCCAATGTATGCTGAGCAGCTCTATCCATCCTGAAGTTAAAAATAAACCATGCATACTGAAGAATTTAGACACAGATAGACAACGTTAGAATAGGAATGAATATAGTTTGAACAGCAAGAAAAGCGTCGACAAGGTGCGTCGACAGATTAAATTCAATTAGCTTTTCTGGTGTGTGAACGACCAACCATTTTGTTTTCTTTTATTTAATGAATTTTGCTGTGCAGATAAGATGCTGACGACTTCGCAGCGACACCATAATTGATATGACCGTAGTTAAACATGATCATCTGATTTTTTTCAAAATTTGGCAGTAAAGTTGAGATTGTTTATAAAGAATTTAAAAATTGTCACAATGTTTTTCTACTTGAACAATAACGAACCATTTAAAGGCTCGGTGACCTTTTTAAATATTTATTAGATAATGTACAAAACATTTGCTTCACCTTATAAAAAATTATCAAATGCAAATACCGAAGACGTATGCTATGTGCATTGAAGCGAGTGCCGACATAATTTTGCAAAAACTTACGTTTCCAGAGAAAAAAAATCACCAATGGACAAGTCAGAAACCTAATTGTAGACCGTAAAGGGGTTATATGATTGAATATACATGTAAATTACAAATAAGCTAGTTGTAAGTTTAAAATATCCCATTGTTTAAATTAGAGGCAACAGTAGTTTACCGATGTTCAAATTTCATAAATCGATTAAGGTGACCAGAGTCAAAGTAAACAAACAAAAAACGAGGGAGCGACCCCGGTGGGTCGACATGGTAAGCCTCTCACTACGATTAGTATTAGGTTCAAAAAGTTTATTAAACTGAAGCGATATTGTTACTTTCTTTTCCACTAGCTACTTCGTTTTTGAAAAATAATTGACTGAGACTATGAGACTGTATGCAATAAAAGTATGCCAGATTAATAGGACTGTTTGGACAGCATTGGCTTACTTTTTCTTAGAAACAGATATTTGTATGAACTTACTTCAGTTGAACGTGAGCTTTGTCAAGAACCTTCTTCATTCTAGCTTGACATCTCTTGATTATATCGACTTCCTGTAAAAATATATTGTTTACATTGAACACTTTTTAAAAAACAAAACCATCAAATCAATAAGCTGACATGAAGGTTTAAACACTGTTATTATTAAGTTAATACATGTTTTTTTTTTTCAAGTTTGCAAAACATGTTTCATTTTAATTAAAAGGTTCGGTTACAGTTAGCGAATAGGTCTAATCAATAAAATTGACCACATGCTGTTCCTTTTCTTCCGTTTATATTTTTGATTGTTTGTTTTTGATTATTATCCTTCAAATAATGTCCTTTATCAGAAATAAGCGGTATTCAAATTATAGGATAAAGTTAAACCTTGCCATAATTTTGTTTTATTTCTAAATACAAAATCTTGTAACTTGGAACTGAAATATAGATAACTATCTACTAAGACATTTTGTCTCTTCAAATATATGAAGTTGTACGATAGGTACCTTAATAAGTGATTTTTCTACATCATCGTGGACTAGATCAATTCCCTGTCTCTTCTCACGATGCATCAAACATTCTTCAGCAATATGTAAAGGATTGGCAGTGTCTCCCAATGCTTTCTCCAAAGTCCTTCTATATTCCTAAATAACATCAAAAATAATCTTGGTTTACAAAATCTAATTATTTTAATCAATGTTTGTAGGCAGTTTTGATCGTTCAAATAATAATCTGATATTGTATAACAACTATAAAACACTTAAAAGGGAAATTTTATATCCATAGTTTGATCGCACGTTTCATTGAGAGCTATTTTCTGTATTTAAAAAAAACACAAAATTACAGCTTTAATTTAGATATTCAGGAGAAAATCTAAATAAAACTTTAACATAAATTATATATATATATTATACAGATTTACCGACCAAAACTGTATATCATTTGAAATATTCTAATTTTCACTTTTAATTTTTACACATCTTTACGCACTAATATTTGAATTGAAAATTTTTTTTTTAAAGTTGTTTCCCTTGGAATGTAGCAGTCATATATGTGTAACATATACATTAGATAGTTTCTTTTAGCTTAATTTTAAGATATGTTAACAAATGAAGCATACAAAAGTAGTTTGATATTTTTCTACGGTTCTGTGCTCCATATTGTATTTGCTAGAATTCCATATACACCAATATCTAACAGTCTAATAATATAGAAAAACAATAGTAAACTGTCTATCCTTATATCGTTTTCAATTTAGCATATTAATGTTTTTTGCGAGACAGTTTACTATTGTTTTTCATCCTAACTATTATATATTACAGATCTACTTCTAAAGCTTTCATAGATACAGTTATCCCAAAGAACAGTATTTCAAATATCGAAAGCAAGCAAGAATTAGTGCGTTTCTGTTATCTCAATAAGTCACGCAACCACATATTGGCATATTAACGATGATATTTTACAGGTTATATTTGAACCACTCCTTATGAAATGAAATAAAATAAAATTCCCATTTTGGGACTTTCGATTACCTCGAAATTTCTTATCATTAGATCCACTCATTTCGTGTAACACTGATAACGTCATTCTGAGAGGGTTAATCAATTTAGAGACTTAACTAGTAAACTTCATCGAAATATGAGTTGATATCTATTACAATAAGTAATGTGCCAATTGGTTTTTAAATCTATAACTCCAAAAATAAGCAAAACAAATGACAAGGTTTGCTCATCTATTCAAAAGTAATGAGATATTTCTCATAGGTAAACTGATGCTATTAGTGTACCACGAAACGAGACACGTTTCACCGATTTATTGACCCATGTTAAGACATATAATACAGACAAATTCCATCTCCAAACAATTATGCAAGCATGTTGTAATTGAATTTGTCCGTTTTCTTTTTTCATTTACCTTCAGATTTTCAATTTCAGTTGCCATGGCATTAACCTCGTTGTTAAGTTCACTTTTCCAGAAAGCAATGTCGTAAACTCGCTCGCCTGGGAATATATAAAGTTTCATACAGAAAGGGATAGAGTTGAACAGAGCAGAAAATTTCCCAGGCTGTCTGTACATTAGGGGGAGACATAAGATGTAGACGGAAAGGGCAATTTTACACTTGAAGTTTAGTGAATTAGCTCAAAATTGGTTAATGTTACTTAATTTAAAGAAATGTGTTAGAAATGACACAATCAGGAGATTTGAATACTGTGTATTGATATTTAGGAATTTCTATTCTTATGTCTTCCTCTTAAAAGTTATATTCGAACCACTATGAAGATAGCTATCAAATGGACTTTCATGAAAATAAACTTGATGTAAATGAAATACTACTCTATGTAATCTTTCTGTAGTACAATATACAAGATTATAAAATCATGTTTTTTTTATCCTTTAATAGGATTGTATTGTTGAAAATTTCCATTTTTATCTGAAAATTATACCAATTGTGGTTTTCCAGAGTGGAATTTTAAGATAACAATTTCTTTTGTTGCCGTGATGAATTTTTCAAAGGAATATACACATATAGAGATGTTGCATGATTGCCAATTAGACAACTATCCACCACAGATCAAAGAAAGTGAATGTATATATATATATATACTATAGTTTACTATTAACATAAAAATTATACATCAAGATAATTTAACATGACAGTCCATGAATGTAGTGACACGGCATGCATAGGAGAACTTTGTTGTATGATACCTCCAAATTAACCATTTCTTGCTCCATAAGATTAATTTCAGTATTGAGCTCGGCCTTCCAATAAGCAATATCGGCCACTCGTTCCCCTGTTGCGAACAGAGTAAAACATGAAGATGATAAAAGTTGATGTATATTTTTTAGCGATTAAATCAAATTCTATACTAAACGATGTCAAATGACTTGTTGACTGCAGAAAGTTTGAAAAAGCTTTTTAGGAATAATCTTTTTCTAAGCATGTTGTAACATTAATGAACTTTTTTTTTAAATTGCATAAGTATTGTTTTTACATGTTAAATATATAGCTCGTATAAAGAATATAGCTTCGATATTTGTTTGTACGTATGTTGAAGTCCATTTGATGATCTTTAGATATTCACTATTTTGTCCATTTTACATAGACAGACGGCTGCTAGTGGTTATTACATCATATCATCCTTTTTATAACATCATATCAAACATACTTATAGATTTTTTTAAATCATTTGTCTGAAGTAAATACCAATATAAAAGTGATTTAAATTTCTCTATCTAGTCTCGCATTAACATTTACAACAAGTAATCACCACTTTTTAACGTGAAAATAGTTTGATTCTTTTAAAAAAATTAGTATAATTTCTAAAGGAGAAAATTTATTATATACACTGCATAGAAAAGAGTGAATTCTTAGATACTTGCAATAAGCAAAGAAAAGGTTATAAAATACAAAGAAGTGTAAAATAAGACTTTTTTCTAAATATATATGCAAAATTTTAATTTGTAAACATTACATGAAAGAAATAAAATACTTCGTTTTAGCTGAAGAAAAAAAAAACATTACGAAGTCTTGATTGTAGTTCTCTTTAAATTTATTTTGTGAAAATATTTGTTCTACAGTTTATTTGAATTACTTGTTTAATATGTTTTCCAAATTCTATAACGGAATTTTTTACACATACTTCAAATCAATCATCGACAAAATGATATGACTATATTTTCTGCTTCAATTCATTAGAAATATAATTGCTAACTCATTTGAACATGAAGATAATGTTTATTGTGTTGCATTTCTTACCGAGTTTCTTTGTGATATCATTTTGCCTGTTACGTGTTCTTGCATCAGTTTCCTTCACTGCTCTCCAAGCATCAGCCCTCAATCTCTCAGCAAATGACCTTTCCTTTTCGGACAGTGAATAGTTCATGCTGTTTGAGTGACCCCAGTCCTGGGTTGTATACCGTGAATAGACTGCATTTCTGTGATGTAAAGTATATTGTGTACATGACACAGTCGTAATATATCAAATACAATGTTCAGTAGAATAAAAGTACAATGGCATATACCGATTGATTCGTTTACTCTTTTTTACTCAAAAATTTGTGTCCGTCATTTGTTAAATAGAGGATTCCTGTGTGTTCAAAAGAATCCAGCTACTTTTGACAAGTTTTTCACAAGTTTCAAGATTTTAATTGAACATTTTTGTTTATAGATTATGTACTAAGTAACTTATTTTAGTTGTGCATAATCAATCGTTTAACTGTATATTTAGTCATTTTATCTAATAAAATAATAAATCCTTTTTTTTTTAATTTAAACTAAAATTATTAGAATGAATAAACGTCGTTGATTGGAGGGCGGAAATATTCCTGATGATATATTTGTTTTCAAATTACCGACTTTTGATTACGGAGTATATAGTTTTTTGATAGGTTACCTACTTTTTGGTAGGACATTCAGGTACTCGGTCATGTAAGAGCAACTTAATAAAGTGAAGTCAAGCTTACAATCGGTGCAATGTGGGCAAAAAATTAACTGTTTTCTGATGATTTTGTTGTGTAACAGTTATTTTTCCCAAAAAGTAGGTAATATGAAAATAGTCTATTGAATCATTCTTTTAATTTACGATATACGAAAATCAAAATCGGAAACTATATAAATCAGCCAATGAATTAATGGACCAATTCTGAACTGATGCTGTATTAAGGGAAATATCTGTTTTGACAATTAGATCGGTATAGATATCATTTACAATGACGTCGAGACTACCAAATGTTATTTTAATGATGAAAATTTTCTGAATTGGTCCATTAGTAAACTATACCAGTCATTTATATGTACCTTGCTGGGTTATAATAAGATCTTGCATGACCAAGATCCAGAGATCTACCAGTAAATCCAAGATGGCGTGAAATAGTTTTATCTGTGACATATGGTAGAATTTTGGACATCTCGCCACCACCTCCAGACATAGGTGTCACACTGCGTGTTCTAAGAATCGCCGGGTTATCGTAGTAAGCCAATCTGCAAAATAAAAAAACTTGACATAAGAACAAAAAAGTATTTTTTTGCAAAAATTGCGTATTCTATGTACACTTAAAAAGTTTTAACTTATAGATATTTAGTGCACCAAATGATAGGTCAGAGAAAACGGATTAAAGAAGACGTTTGACTGTGAGATGAAAGTTAAATCTGTATTGTAATATCTTGTACGGTTGCATGCACCAAAGAATTTTGTAAATTGTGATAAATAATGATAACATTGGGCATAACACTCATTCGAATGAGGAGTCTATTTGTATACTTCTAAGATACAAAAACAGTCTATCAAAATTACAGTAAATTAGATTGAACGTTTCATAGCTCTCTGATAATACTACAGCTACTAGATGATCGGGATGCATACTTACGAATGTGTGCTTCATCACAATATACTGCAGTTTTAAAACGATTTTTCGAATAGTATTTACCTATCTTTCGATCTTTCTCTTGTTGAAGGTCTGGAGGAAAATGGTGTATGTCTTAGAAAGATAAGAAAACGCAGAGATCAACAGAAGAGAAAAAGAACGAATTTAAGAAAAATGGTGACGAAAAAAACTAAAAAAGAAGAAAAGACGATTATCTATATAAGAGACGGTTCAAATCATTCATAGTAAGAAAAATGAATGACATGCTATGGTTTTTCAGAAGGAGTGGCAAAAGAATAATTGGCAATTAAATTTCTAGTAGCAAATTTCAAACAAGCCAATTGTTCCAAAATAAAGCAATCACTAATGTAAAAACATTAACGGTTTCAATTTCACTGCCCCAAATGCTTTCTCGAAAATCAATTTCACGTCAGTGATACTCAAGACCAATGTAAGAAACTTTTGTAGTATAGTAAAAATTGATAGAAATGGTGAATACCTTAGAAATATATGAAAATGCAGAGATCAACAGAAGAGGCAAAATAATATACTTAAGAAGAATGGTGATGAAAAGACGATTATATATATAAGAAGACGGTTAAAACATATATTCATAGTAAGAATCATGAATGGTATAGTGTGGCATTTAAGAAGGAATAGCGAAAGCATAAATGGAAAATACGTTCATAGTAGCAAATTTTAAACCAGACAGTTGTACCAAAATAAAGCAACCGACAATGTAAAAACATTAACGGTATCAACTACTGCACAAAGTGCACATTTCGACAATCAATGTCGCTTCACTCCAAATTAAGTACGAAGTTGAAGAGCATTGACGACCCAAAATTCCGAAAGGTTTTGCCAACTACAGCTAAGGTTACCTATTCCAAGGGTATAATATCTTTAGTATTTCGATAAATTCAAAGTTTTATAAACAGTTAATTATAATTATGACCACAACAATGATAATTCATGTCAACAATGAAGTAAAATGAAAGTTTAATGTGATATTATGAAATGAATATTTTAAAGTTTTTACCATTCTAATGTATATGCACTCGTTTACGTTATGTATTTCATTATGAACATGAGAAATTTACATATGGCTAGTAGTTAGGAAACACAGTAGAACGATCAACGTTTCTAAACAACTCCTTTATGCTTTCAATAGTCAATGACAGATTGATAAATATGAGGTTGTGTTGAAATAACAGAATAGTAAATAGAAATATTGAATTTAAAGATTTTCACTCCTGAAGTAATGACTTGCAGACATATATTTTCAAATAGTGAAAGAAATTGATTGTAAATGAGACCAAAATTTAAGACAAATTAGGACAGATAAATATAAATGTAAATATAAAAAATAATTTTGTTTGAGCTATCAAAAACACATAAAATTTAGGACAGGGATACCTTAATGGTAATACTACAGATTTAATATTATATCAAAATTTAATTGTCTGTGATATCCAAAATAAATAAACATTTTAAATTCCAGATGGATATATTCAAAAATAGATACTCTCCACAATAAGGATTGATAATGGATGTCTTTTGCTGTTTATACCTTATTCACTGTACTTTAACCTTCATTTCTGTTATCAATATGAAAAAAGAGTAATTCTATATTTTGTGTATTTTGTATATACCAACACTACCAAACATTTTATGTTTTAACGAATATGCTTTCAGTATAGTCTGTAAAACAAACAAACCGATTGTTTGGCAAACCAAATATTCATTTTGGCGATTTCACTAACATAGGTATACTTTTACGATATATCGTAACGTGTCAGGTGAAATTCCTATAGAACTGGGCAAAAGGTATGTTACTACCCAAACATTATTAGTTATTACTGCTTTAGTCATATATATATTATTTAACCACTGGATTTTGAAGGGTAAATTCAAGAAAGCTCCAAAAGATATGTTTCACGAAAGCGTCAACAAAAATCTGCATTGAATAAAATATACCCTTAGACGACCATACATCTTAACGAAGAAATGAACTGATGTGGTGGCATAATTGAGTCCATTAATTATAGAAAGAAACGGAATAAAACATGTTTTAAAGCCTGTTGATAAAGCAGCAAAAGGAGAGTGTACTTCAAATGTGGATTGATGTGTAAACTGAACTGATATTTGATTTACAACTGTCCTTGTATGGTTCAAAAGTAGTTTCCAGCACTGTTTGACAAACGTTACTATGTTACTACGTTACAATCTTATCAAACTAATAGAAGTAATTTAATTGGATTAATTACATAATGATTTTCACTAAATGTCAGACAGCAATAATCAAATGTGTAATGTGTAACCACTTAGCTTCACAACGTAAAATATTATAACAAAAGTAGACAATGTGTATACTATATTACGGAAATTCAAATATTTTGTACAGTTAGAAGAAACTTTATATTAAACATATTTGATATTTTGCAATTATCTTATTATCGACGCAGTAATTGACTTTGGTAACGTACAAATGTAGATATATGCTATTAATAATAAGTAAATATGACTGAAAGGAAATAAGTTAATTAAAGGTAAAGGTGATCAATACAGCTATTGATGCGGTAAATGACGTTTCCGTGTTAAAAAGGTATGTTTCCATGATTCATCAAAGTTTCATACAGTTGTTATAGATAAGACCCAATAACTATGACGGATACTTATCTTAATGAAAGGAAAAAGATGAAAGTACTGTCTGTTTACTTTAAAATATTAATAAAAAATAGTTTTAAAGCCATACATTTGATCAAGTGCTAAACAGAGGCAATTGTAGTTAACCGATATTCAAGTCTCGTAATTCCATTTCGAATAGAATAACCAAACATGTCTTCAAGAGATATAGGTGAAACGTTTAGACAGATAACTTTCCAGATTAACTAGATACACTACGAAACACCTGAAAACTTTGACTGTAAGTTTTAGATGAGATTTGAGTGGGAGATAGATATCAAAGGGAACAAAAAATAAGTAACTTGATGGGTGTTGTGGGTCAATTTGAAAACATAAAACTTTTGTGAATAACCAGATGAATAACCAGATGACAGAAATAATTATCTAGTTTCCAAAAAAGGAGCTCTCAATAAATAGAAAGAAGGAATATACATTGATTCAATCCATAAAGAAAAAACATAGTCCTCAAGTATTACATTGTGATACAGTCATCGAGCTACAGTCCAATAGCATATATCATTCGATGAGTGACAAGACAATAGTATAAGGGAGCGCCTTTCTAAATGCAAAGATTTAAAAGTCGTTTTGAATTATAAGATGAAACAGTAAGTCCATTTAGAATGTCCAAAGGACGTAAAAACGTTTAACAATTAAACGACAGTGCAAGCTTAATACTGTATCAAAGAAACTGACTTAACTGTCGGAACTAGTCTAAAATTGAGTCTATAGGAACCGAATTTTAGATACAAAAGTAATTATACAAACGTATTCGAACAAAATAGGTAACATATATTCGTTTTTTGTATGACTTTATTATACATATTTACATATACTCACGAACAATGCTGATTTCAGATTTCGTAGGTCTACTAGTAATCTATAAGCGATTATTGACCTTCTGTTTCGTCCCCGCCTTAATTGATGATACTGCTTTTGGGATTGTTTTAATGAGTGAACTGGTCGATAATCCAGTAAGATAATAATTACAACTACGAATTTACTCATTAATTTCTTATCAAGTATTTTACCGATTCTACTGATTAAGGTTTTATTATTCTTGATATGGTAAAGAAAAACCAAAACATTAGAAGATGGAATATTAACTTAAGTAAAGGAGTAAATCTTTCAAATATTGTCCCACATAGTTTTGCTGAGAGGAATTCACTCTGGTCAAATATAAATGAGAAGTAAAGGTCAAGGAATGAAACATGATACATAACAGAAATGTATAATAAAATGGACAAAGATGTAGACCGAAAACGATAAACCACAGAAATTGAATTAAAGGAATCTGACCTATTCGCAATGTATGTATAGAATAATAAAATGCAGATCTGTAGATCAGTGGATGAAGAAGGAATTCATAAAAATGTAACACATGGACAGCAATATAAATGCTAACCAAGGCAACCAACTAACTGTCCCGCTTAGAAAATGCGATTTCATATAGTAAAACTTAAATTTTTAACACTTGATCAAAATAACAGGCAACATAAAAATAGTATTACCAAGATTACATATTATAATGCTTGGTTAATATTTTCGTTATTCAAAGGTGAGTCTTGCTAAGCATATAGGCATTTATGTATTATAAATTATTTTAGTGCAACCGACAAGCCTTTTGAATTGAATGGTCGTTTAATTTATAAGATGCTTACTCATGTATTGATACAATAGATGTTGAAAGAAATGAAATAAAATGAAAGTGAAATGTAATGTAAATACAAAATAAAATTCTGAAAAGGCTTTACAAGTTTTATCAAATACTGCGTTCAAAGGGTGACTATAGAAAATGTTTTCATGCCTATTAATTATTTGGCTGCTCGGTTTTCTTTTCAATGTGATCAGAAATCAAAAGAAAATGTTATTTCTAAATAGACTTTTCAAGCTGACAGGTGTATTGCTTTGTGAAATAAAATGATCAGAAATTTTGAAAATATAATAATGATATCCATTGTAAAATACCTACTTTCAACTTTAAACTTTTGCGTTTGATAAGCACGTGTTTAACAAGAGTATATATTAGTGCTAGCATCAATACGGCTAAACATAATAAGACTGTGTTATGCAATATTTTCCAACTTACCTGCTCATGTTGAAAATAATGGACTGCTATTACGGGAAAAAATCCTTCAATTGTTAAGTGAATCTTAATTACGGCACAATGTAGCCAATGGTTCGGATTATGGCAAAGTTTCGTTGACAAGGAGATGTCCCTAGCAACCCGTCACGTGCTTTCTCACAACAGAAACTGCAGATTTCTGTAAAATTAATGAATGAAAATTAAATAATACAGTATAACAAATGTTTGCTGCCACGAACTACACTTTGTTAATAATGAATGAGAGGAAGCTTCCACACTATTTAGAAACCATATATCTAAGTATCGATTAGAGTGAGAATTTGTCGTTAGTTACGACGAATTAACAGTCTGACCCCTTAAATGAAAAGTTTTAATGTGTGACGTGAAAAAGTTTATTGGAATTACTTATATCAAATAGCCCAGGTGAAAGTTGAAAGTTTTAATCTTATAAGCCGTCTATAGATTTGAAGTTCTTTTGTATGGGAGGCGTATTAGGTGTTGCAATGTATTGTTCTTTTTAATTTATATCTATGGGTGACAAACAAGAAATGAATAGTATATGGTTGTATCTTTTCAACTTGAAAGTATATTGTATACATAATTTGAAACTATGTTAATCAATTGAAAATTCGTTCAAATAACATTTGATACTTTCAAAACTAAAGGGTTTCTACATTGATTTTAATGGCCAATTCCATTTAGGTAAAATCCATTTAACTCGCCACAATCCTTTACATAACCTCAACTGATCAAATAAAACATTTTGAAAGCAAAACATTTATTTTACTTGGTTCGCTTAAATCGATTAATATACTAAAGATTACGTAGTTTTGCTGGTTTTTCATAACAGGCTTATATTAAGAATAACTGGTATTTTAGAACCCTCCAAAATATATGTACACTAGGAAATACAGTGTTATTTTTACATGGAATCATTCTTTCTTATACCTCTGTACATGCCGTAAAGTCATTCTTTTGTGTAAAAAGGTTGTCAACCTAAGTTATGATCATTGTATTTGCTGGTATACTTCACTCTAAATCCTAACTCTAGCCAATATTTAGTTTACTATTTGAGTATATATGATAAGTTTTGTATGTGTCCTCTTTACAAAATGTTTAAGTTGTGCTTTGGAAAGCCTTGAACTAAACTAGTGAAATAAATCATACTACTACATACATTAGCTTCATAAATGCATACATTTATTAATACGAATCGTCGAAATAAGATAACCCCACGTCGACGGGAGAGCGAGATAATTTAATGCGATTCGTTCACATTGTGTAGTATCATATTCATAGAAACTTTAAATTGCAAGTTTTAATCATATCAACGTGTTAAACATTGTATTATTTCATCAGTAAAACATCGCATTGCTCTCTGACTTTACGGTATTATTATTTCTTACCTTATTAAAGAGCTATCTTACTTTACAGCGTCCTTACCAGAAGAAATAACTACCAGCGCATGTATGCAAGCAGAGTTGATATGACAATGACTTGTATTCGTCCATATTTATTATTAGTTCTTATTAATTATTGAAAGCAAATTAATGACATATGTCATAATTATTTTTTTCACATTCATGTTAATTCTATTTGATCCTAAAGGTTAATCGATAAATTGTTTATAATTTAAATGATTATTGGTGAAATCTATCATTTGAGCAAAGTTGATATGTATAACGCGTACATGTCCATACCAACGTATGCACTAAATAAGTAGCGGTATAGAGATAGTTAACGCTAAAACATTTGCACACTTCGAGCAAAATGCAGAAGTTCATAATTCACTGGTTTATGAGTTTTATTTTACTTAGTTGAATATTCTGGGTTTTTTTTAACTTGTATAAAGTTTAAAAAAAAACAATTCAAATCCCTATACATACGATCCACCAAAACTTTGTTTCAACAATTTGTTTTGATATTTACTTTGTATTTGACACAACAACTTGTGTTTCGTGTAAATAGAAAATACAGTTTCACTATTCAATGAATATTTGTATTGTAATAAAATAACTGCCATCAAATGGGAATCTGACGTTCTACATATGAGAAAAACCGGGTGATTGAACGACTAATCACTCGTCAATACTTATCTCTTTTTTCTTTTTTGTTTCTTTTTCTCAAATGTATATGCTTTAATATATCATTTAAGATTGTACGAAAATACTTGCATGCTGTAAAATATATAATTGTAATTTATCGTATCCCCTACATTGTATATGATTAACACATGTCTTATCCCTTTGGAAATATTTTTGCAAATAGAAATTGTTTAAACTAAAATTAAACCAATGTAGAAACATAGATAAAAAAAATATAGATTTGAGGCAATCAATACAACCTATCAGGGGAAATAATCTTTTAAATTCTGATTTTACTAAAGCCAAAATCTGAATAAGAAAAAATAATTAAAAGTGCAATACATGTATTAAGTTCCTTTTCCATTGTTGCAAATATAATCATGCGATGAATGACACTTTTTCAAAAGAAACTTGAGATCCTTCGCAGTGCGAGTCACATTATTATACCACATTTACAATATGTACTGTTTAAATAAACTTCAGATTTAATTTTAATTCCCTCTTCAAGTCCTAAAAATAGCTAAATGTCAATTATGAAAGTTTTTCACAATGATTAAATCAATATAATTCATATATAAACCCTAATATGTGCTTCTTAACAAAACCTTAAATGAATTTATAAAATGATGAGTACAAATACAATAGAACGATTATTCTAAATTTAGGTAGATGTATTCTAAAACTGATCGGAGAAACAAAACGACTGGCACACATTTTGTTATGTATTCAACAAATTAAAGTGTTCTCATATACAGTTGACGCCATGCAATGGCATGCCTTATGACGATTGTCGCCTTAAAGAGGTTTACGGGACATAACTCTTACTTAAAACGGATATGTTTATGTCATCTACTTTCCCTTTCATGCAGTTCTAAGCTTCTAACTGAGACTTATGATATTAATTCTGCTTCACACGTATGCTTAAAAAGCTTGACGTGATTTGCATTATCTCCCCTTGCCAATGTCTCCCCACGAATTATATATATATTAAAAGGAGATTGCACAGTAAAAGTGTCGAAGTGAACACAGAAGACGAATAAAAAGATAAGTGCAGTACAAAAAAGTAACACTACTGACACATTTTAAAAAGCAAAACACGACAATTAGAACTGGCGATGTAAAATGAAATGTGAAAACCCGAAAAATTTAGAGTATTGCAGGTAAAAACTTGATGTTCTTAAATCTTAAATCATAGACAAAAACACATCTTTGTAAAATATCCTTTAGTTCTTACTAAATACTTGAAAGATAATATTAATACAATTTGTTCGAGCATTCTACGGGAATCTCCCACCAAAAACTTTTGGTAAGGATCCAATGTCATTGTTAGTAGCCAAAGAAGCCTGAATGATAACTGTGAACCAACTATAGTATGTTTATAACAACACTGTGACGGTATAAATGGTTTTGAAATCAATTAAATATCTCATTATCAGTCTGTCTATTATAACAATACAAAACATGTACATAATGAATGCTATCTAATCTATACTGCTAAGGCCTTTCAAATTTTATTTAATTTTCAAAGATTTTTTTTTTTTTTACTAATGTTTTCTTTTAGGAGAATAAACTTTTAAAAACGATATTAGAAAAAAAAGAAACCAAGGTCAACCATATCAATTTTACTGTGGCCATAGAAATGACTATATATTGAGATATAAATAACCTCTTTCTTTTCTTTTAAGGATAGAGATACAATTAAGTAACAAATCTCTAGATGTCAGTTTCAATTTATATTTTAGGGGTAAAACAGGAGAAGTACGTCTCAAATGTTTTTCTAATGATATAGTTTCTTTACAGATCAAAATAAAAATCAAGGCGTCACCGGCCAAATATACGAGTTGCATTACTTCTCATGTTATCCGAAGTACTAAAAATATAGTTTGTGTGTCCTTAACAAATATTATAAATCAGATTAAACTTATATGATAAAGAATCAACCGTGAAGAATTATGGCTACGTTTTTCACACTGAATGATGCCAATTTTTGAAGTTTGTATATTGTTTGTGACTATCGTTTACAGTTGTTATAAACTACATAAACGAGGTTCATATGTTCTTAGTCTAAATATTTGTGAAATACCTGATTTTCTGTATATGATCATTAACCTCATTAGGTAGAAGGTTAGTTTTCGAATATATGTAAAATACTAAAGAAAAATATTAATATGGTGTATATTTTACAACACCAATGCATTTTATGTATGAAAGTGATTCCCTTCTCGTGTACTTATCTTATTTCGCGTTGGTGCACTAACGGCATCATAATTAAATAAAAATTTGATAAAACAATGTTTCATTGTGGTCTTTTTATAAGCCTGATATCTTGAATGAGTTTCTCTTTAATGAAAGGGGTGAGATGGGTTTTTATTCATGCAGATTATCGACTCTTTTGGTTCTGATGGAAACAGTACTTTGATGCACCAAGTTATTTGAATGAACCGGAAACTGCGATGTAATGCTACATAAGCACTTTTCAAGTGACAATAATTATTCTTGTCGTCTATGAATAATTTACAAAAATAAGCTTTTGATCCTTTTTCGTTCAATTCCAGTGTCAGAATGGAAGTTCTGAAACACAGGGTTTGCCTGTTAGCGATTGTTTCCATTTTTCTGATAGACAGACCTATTTGTAGTAGGGTTTTGATTCGTATAATGTTTTTTTATAAAATGATAACAACAGACAATTTTATTACAAGTAATTGACTTGATGCAATATTTCTTTAAAAAAGGAAATTTACAGAATATCCAGCGTTTCAAGCGCTTTTTCATCAGCCTTATCAGAGACGCGACCGAGAGGCTAAACTTCGGAAAGGTCAAAATGTATTATTGTATCGGGAACTGTAACCAAAGGGGTATTAGAATATCGATCATCCCTATAAAAATGATTTTAAATAACGTTTCTATGAAATTTATAAACTCAGATTTATGTATATAGTAATAAAAGTTATTCAAATGAATGTAATGATGCACGACCGATCGACTGACTCCTACACTGAAGTGTGGGCTGTATGTTAAGTTTTGTTTTCTATATTGATCATCATCGTACATGTAGGGACATGTGGGTGTGTGTGTGTGGGGGGGGGGGGGGGGG